GCTCTTTTTGGCGCCATCTTGTGTCTGAATAATTCTCAGGTTAGTGTATACTCCATCAGCTGTTTTAGTTTCTGTCAGCTTTGTGTTTTGGTCTGTATGGCGACATCTTGTGTCTGAATAATGTGCAGGTTAGTGTATAGTGCATCAGCTGTTTTAGTTTCTGTCAGCTTTGTGTTTTGGTCTGCTTGTCTTCATCTTGTGTCTGAATAATGTGCAGGTTAGTGTATACTGCATCAGCTGTTTTAGTTTCTGTCAGCTTTGTGTTTTTTATTTCAACTATTAATGAGCTATTACAGCTCAGAGCAATGCGTTGTGTCTAATATTCATGTTTTGTTGCCAGTAGTTGTGTAATAAGCAGGATAAAGTACATCCAGGACGGTTGTTTTCACAGAATAAACCCTTCTGTCTCATACAACAGTCCTACGCTTTACATCAGGCCGCTGATAAACCTGTCAGGCTTTATTCTGAGATAACAACCAGCTGGATGTACTTTATCCCTGACTTACTGAATGATTGAATATGGGCATGTGTGTGACGTATATGTTCATCTGTTTCTCAGATCGTTCTCCAGACATTGACAACTACTCTGAGGAGGAGGAGGAGAGTTACTCTTCAGAGCAGGAGGGCAGCGATGACCCTGTACACCATGTACGTATGTGTGTGTGTGTGTGTATGTGTGTGTGGTCAATTAAATCATGTGTTCATACATTCATTTTCCTTCAGCTTAGTCCCTTATTTATCAGGGGTCACCACAGCGGAATGAACCGCCAACTATTTTAGCAAATGTTTTACACAGTGGATGCCCTTCCAGTTGCAACCCAGTACTGGGAAACACCCATACACACTCATTTACACACAAACTCGTACACTTCGACCAATTTAGTTGATCCAATTCCCCTATAGCACATGTGGTTGAACTGTGGGGGGAACCGGAGCCTGTTGACCTTTAAAAAAATGTCTTTATTGTTCAAAAAATGTTTAATCCTTAAAAAATGGGCTAATCCTTTTTACTTTTTCGACTATGTGTGTGTGTGTTATATGTATATATAGTGTGTGTACATTTCTTTAAAGTAGCAATTATCTGTTCAGTGCTCAGTTGAAGGACTGAAGCGTTGAACACACACATGCAGTAAGTGTTTAATGTGTGTGTGTGTGTGTGTGTGTGCGTGCGTGTGTGTGTGCGCGCGTTTCAGTATCTGGACGATGAAGAGGATGAAGTGAGGAAGAAGAAGCCCAGACGCAAACTTACCTCCAATGCCTCCATCACTCGAGTGAGAGACACACATATATGTACACTCACCGGCCACTTTATTAGGTACACCTTACAACTACTGGGTTGGACCCTCTTTTGCCTTCAGAGCCGCCTTAATCCTTCGTGGCATAGATTCAACAAGGTACTGAAAATAATTCTCAGAGATTTTGCTCCATATTGACATGATAGCATCATACAGTTGCTGCAGATCTGTCGGCTGCACATCCATGATGCGAATCTCCCGTTCCACCACATGCCAAAGGTGCTCTATTGGATTGAGATCTGGTGATTGTGGAGGCCATTTAAGTACAGTGAACTCATTGTCATGTTCGTCTGGCATCAACAAGGCGTTCGCAACCACAGAACTGCCGCTCACTGGATATTTTCTCTTTTTTTTGGACCATTCTCTGTAAACCCTAGAGAAGGTTGTGCGTGAAAATCCCAGTAGATCAGCAGTTTCTGAAATTCTCAGACGAGCCCGTCTGGCACGAACAACCATGCCACGTTCAAAATCACTTAAATCCTCTTCCTTCCCTATTCTGATGCTCGGTTTGAACTGCAGCAGATCGTCTTGACCATGTCTACATGCCTAAATGCATCAAGTTGTTGCCATCTGATTGGCTGATTAGAAATTTGCAGCAACGAGCAGTTTGGACAGATGTACCTAATAAAGTGGCCGCTATAGGACACACATGCATGTGTCATATAGACAACTGCATGACTTACCTACTTGCATAATACACAAGCACACACACACACACATACACACTATTATATACATACACAAACTTGCATAGCACACATACACATGCATAACATTCTATCACACACACAAACACACATTCATAACCCACACACACACGCATACCACACATGCACACAGGTGTGCTTCTAGGGGCGAAGTTAAGACGGCCCCCAGAATTGCTATTAGGATCCCCCCAATCACCCCCCCCGCACCACCACCACCACCAACCCCCCAAACATTTACACACACCTCTCATTTCATACCGATGCACAGAGATGTATAACACACACACCCACATGCACAAACACACATGCATAACACTGTCATAGACAAAAACACACACACACATGCATAGATAGCACTCTATCACACACACATAACACTATATCACACACACACACACACAAATGCAAAATGCTCTATCATACTGACAGACACACATATGCACAACTCTGACACACACACATACATACATTACACTAATACACTCTCAAACACACACATGCATAACACACTCTGCCACACACACACCTCATCACTCCACTTATGATTACAGATCAATAACTCACAGTAAAACCAGGTGTAGATTTGATATTGAGCGAGTGTGTGTGTTCTGACCTGAGAGTGTGTGTGTGTGTGTGTGTGTGTGTTTTTCCTCCAGCAACCCAACATCAAGCAGAAGTTTGTGGCTCTGCTGAAGAGATTTAAGGTGTCAGATGAGGTAAAGCTGCAGGAATATGACTGTGATCACGCTTATCATAACCCTCCACACGCATCATTTCCTGTCATTCTCACACACACACACACACACACACACACACACACACAGCAGATGAGGAGAACGCAGTCATGTGAATAAATCAAAGTGTTTCAGTGATTATTGTGTATTTAATAATACTAGTGCTGGGCAAAGATTATACATTCGTCCTTTTCCTTCGGCTTAGTGCCTTATTTATCAGAGGTTGCCACAGCGGAGTGGACCGACAACTATTCCAGCATATGTTTCCGTCTTGTCCTCACTTATGTAGTTAAATATGATAACATCTCCCCCTAGTGGGGACATTTCACTGATCTTCACTAATTAAAATGCGCATAAATTATGCAGAGGATGTATTTATTATGATCTGATGATGTTTCTGTGAGGACTGAGTGCTGGAGTTTAACCATAGACACTGATATTAACCTGATAGAAAATCAGTGGATGTCTATGTAATGTCCTCACTAACAACAAACCTGTGTGCGTGTGTGTGTGTGTGTGTAGGTGGGCTTCGGGCTGGAGCACGTGTCCCGTGAGCAGATCCAGGAGGTAGAGGAGGATCTGGACGAGCTTTACCAGAGTCTGGATATGTACAATCCCAGCGACAGCGGGCCGGAGATGGAGGAGACCGACAGCATCCTGAGCACTCCAAAACCCAAACTCAGGTGAAACACACATTAGAAAACACACACCAAAGCGGAGCGCGCGCACACACCGGTATAAGATTCTGACCGTGTGATAATGATGGATATAATATCATGGTGTTCTGATTGCTCCTCTAAATTAAATTCTTATTTAATGTCCTGGTTAAAAACAACACTTTTTTTCCGCCTTGAACACAATTTATTTTATTTAAAGGGTCATGAAACCCCCTCGTTTCAGCAGGGTGTTTTCACACCTCTACTTTGGAAAAAGTCAGAAAAGTGGGCGTGTCCAGCTCTGTTTAGGGGGGAGTGTCGGAGGAAGAAAAGAGGGATGGTGTGGGAGTGTCTATTTGGGCACGCGCGAGTTTCAGAGTCAAAATACACACACACACACACACACACACACACACACACACACACACACACACACACACACAGGGGACAAAGTGACTGTGTTTACATGGACATCTGTAGTCGAATTATTTGCCAAATTATTAAATGGTTGACTTTAACTGCAGTTTGGCTCTTTCATTCAGGGAATTCATTCATGTCCCTCGCGACCATCGAGATATTTGATTCGAGGATCTGCTCTAAGCGTGTATTTTTCATGCAATATTTGATACCGCACGGCGAATGAGAGAAAAAAAACCTCAGCATTTCCTGGAAACTTAGATGTTAGCGTCAGAAAGTCGCGTGTGTTATTCCGATCACAAAATGCGGTCAAAATCCTACACGAGGTTAAAGGTGCAGTAGGTGATCTGCCAAAATGCTAACCGCTTAGCATATTATCTTTGGACGGCGGGGAGGGACTGTGATTCAAAGCCACACCCCCTGATATCGCGAGCGCGCGGACCGCGTCACAACAGCAGACAGACAACCCACTAGTTCATGTCATTCGGCAGTTAGTTAGTGCTAGCGCTGTGCAGGAATTACATGGATTACTTTGCCACACTTGCATGCTATTTCAGAGCGAATATTCAGAGTAACGTTAGCGGTAAACAGTATAGGAAGGCTGTCATTGTTCAAAAATGACCCAATGTGAATATAAATCTACATTATAGATCCTGTCAAAGAACCTTATGAGACTGAAAATAATCACATCAATCTTTCACCGAGAGATTTCAGTGGCTGAACAACACGTCTGTGCATAAGTCATTCGTAACAGAACACAATCTGACATCAGCTTAGCCTGACTAAAATAGTTTCAAAACAGAACACTACCTGTCTAACAGTAATACTTCAGCCATGGTCTCGTTCTTCCTCCAGCGTGCTAAAGTAACTGCAATACTGATTCAGGATTTTCAAAACTTTCAATGCAGCATTTGATTTCTCCCGGTCCGTCTCGTGACCGCGCAGCCACCTTAAGGTCGAATTATACCCGCGCCTGGCTTTGAAGTAATCGGCCCGAACTCGGCTGTCCTTCGGCGCCTCCGGCTCCGACTCGGCATCTGCGAGCGTCCCGCAGCTCACTCGCGCGCATGTGTTTGTGATGCAGACGGGCACGCGCTAATGGTGGATCTGCGTGCACAGATGCGCAGAAGTCGGAATCTACATTTGTTGACAGACAGTCTGACCTGCCTATCGGAATTAAGGGAGATGTCGGTCCGACTCTATTTAATTGGATGAACATTTTTTAGTTTTATGCCTCACCCAGAATATAAAAATACATATAAACACAAATTTTTTTATGTATATAAAATTGTATTAACAGAAAGCCTGGTAAATGTCTGTAAAGTCTTAGTAATTAATAAAGTAATAAAGAGCTAATATTATATAATATCAAATCTAGTGTTTTGAGGGGACAAAAATGATATCTAATGAGTATTTTGGGGCGAAACTGAAATCATGGAGGAAAATGTATTCTGTTAAAAATGTAAAGCTGTTAAAAAATGAACTGTTTTATGCTTAAAAGCCACTTTTATAAATGTCAAACACAAGTAAGATGTTTTAAATTCACTTACAAAAATGGGAAAACACTTATAATTGCAGGATAGAACAGTGAAATTAGATGCTAATGGTCTAATCTGATTCAATGATCTATGTTAAGCTAAGCTAAAAGTGCTCCCGCCAGACCCAGAGATCAGCTGAGTGGGTTTTAAAATTATATTTAATGCGAGTAAAGTCTTAGCAATTAATAAAGTAATAAGGAGCTAATATTATATCATATCAAATCTATTGGTATGAAAGGAAAAAAAAAAGGGATTTAATGAGTATTTTGGGGTGAAACTGTGAAATAATGGAGGAAAATGTATTATGTTAAAAATGTAAACATGAATTGTTTTGTGCTTCAAAGCCACTTTATAAATGTCAAACGTCAGTAAGATGTTTTAATTTCACTTAGAAATATGGGGAAATACTTAAACAAGATGATTACAGTATATAATGGTGAAATTGGATGCTAACGGTCTAATCTGATTCAATGATCTATGCTAAGCTAAGCTAAATGTGCTCCTGCCAGACCCAGAGATCGGCTGAATGGGTTAAAAAATGGTATAACTCAACTGTTTAACTCTAGAAGAGCAGTAAAATGAGACTAAATAAAATTTATATTTTATTCATTTATTTGAATTTTTTATGTTTATAACATTGTATAAACAGAAAGCATGTTAAATGCGAGTAAAGTCTTAGTAATTAATAAAGTAATAAAGAGCTAATATTATATAATTACAAATCTAGTGGTTTGAGGGGGAAAAGGGATATCTAATGAGTATTTTGGGGCGAAACTGTAAAATCATAAGGAAAATGTATTCTGTTAAAAATGTAAAGCTGTTAAACATGAATTGTTTTATGCTTGAAAGCCACTTTATAAATGTCAAATGCAAGTAAGATGCCTAATGTTTCAAATTCACTTACAAAGATTGGAAAATACTTATGATAGCAGAATAGAATGGTGAAATTAGATGCTAACGGTCTAATCCGATTCAATGATCTATGCTAAGCTAAGCTAAAAGTGCTCCTCAAGAGATCAGCTGAGTGGGTTTAAAAGTTATAATTAGTGCGAGTAATGTCTTAGTAATTAATAAAGTAATAAAGAGCTAATATTATATCATAACAAATCTAGTGGTTTGAGGGGGGAAAAGGCTATCTAATGAGTATTTTGGGGCGAAACTGTGAAATCTTGAGGAAAATGTATTATGTTAAAAATGTAAACATGAATTGTTTTGTGCTTCAAAGCCACTTTATAAATGTCAAACGTCAGTAAGATGTTTTAATTTCACTTAGAAATATGGGGAAATACTTAAACAAGATGATTACAGTATATAATGGTGAAATTAGATGCTAATGGTCTAATCTGATTCAATGATCTATGTTAAGCTAAGCTAAAAGTGCTCCCGCCAGACCCAGAGATCAGCTGAGTGGGTTTTAAAATTATATTTAATGCGAGTAAAGTCTTAGCAATTAATAAAGTAATAAAGAGCTAATATTATATCATATCAAATCTAGTGGTATGAAAGGAAAAAAAAAAGGGATTTAATTAGTATTTTGGTTCGAAACTGAAATCTTGAGGAAAATGTATTATGTTAAAAATGTAAACATGAATTGTTTTGTGCTTCAAAGCCACTTTATAAATGTCAAGCGTCAGTAAGATGTTTCAATTTCACTTAGAAATATGGGGAAATACTTAAACAAGATGATTACAGTATATAATGGTGAAATTAGATGCTAACGGTCTAATCTGATTCAATGATCTATGCTAAGCTAAGCTAAATGTGCTCCCGCCAGATGCAGATATCAGCTGAACGCGTTCGAAATGGTAAAAGTCAACTGTTTAACTCTAGAAGAGCAGTAAAATGAGCCTATTTCCAAAAGGTATCTTTAAAGGGGAAGTGAAGTGCTTTGAAATGTGTATTTTTATTTAATGTTTGACATAATCTCAACCGAAACACAAAAAGAGGGCGGGACATATTGTAGCTCCTCCTCTTTTTATACAACAGCCAATAGTGTTTTGCTTTCTCACAGCTCTGCCAGTGAGAGTGGTTGAGATCAAGCGCACCGAATGAGAAGCATACTGAAGGGGGCGGGGCATGTAAAACACTAGAGAGCATCTGATTGGTCAGAAGATTTGATGAGAAACTGTAGTATGAGGTGACGAGAATAAAACTGCCGATCCAGTTAGGCGGAAGTGACAAACTACAAGCTTTACATGTTTGTGTCAGGTTTACATCTTGAATTTTGTCACTGTTTTGGTGCGCACTAGCTTATAGAGATCCTAAAAAACGAACAATGCTGATGCTAACATCTAACCAACTGTATTTTGATTTCATCAGACCTTTAATACACCCCGAAACACTTTAATATTGTGCAGCTACTTGCTTCAAATCAGTTTAAAGTGCGGTAGAAATACATTTGACAGGAGATTTTTCACTCAGCCGTCTCTGAACCGAAAGCAAAGGATTGTGGGATTTCATAGAGAGAGAGAAGGATATAAACAAATTGCCTTCAGAAGTCAGATCAGTTGAAAGGATGTCAACAAACAGGACGTGACACGATCAGTGGATTCAGACGAGCCCTGTTGCCTTTACCTCCTCACACACACTCTCTGCTGAGTGCTGGCTCCCTCTGCTGGACACTTGTGGCCGTCTGCCCTTGTTTAACCTCCAGCGTTATATCAGTTTACTAACCGCTCTTATGATCGAGTCTATTTTATTATTATTATTCATGAATGTAAATATACAAACACAATCATATATACATATATAAGTAAATTACAATAGTATAGAAGTGTATTTAATTAAATAAATGAAGAGCATTACAGGAAAGCTAGCGGCTAAAGCTAATCAGTCAGTATTCATTCATTTATTTTCCTTTTCGGCTTAGTCCCCTTATTCATCAGGGGTAGCCACAGCAGAATGAACCACCTGTTCAAGCATATATTTTACCCAGTGGATGCCCTGCCAGCTGCAACCTAGTACTGGGAAACACCCATGCACACTTATTCACACACATCCTCGTACACTATGGCCAATTTAGTTCATCAATTCCCCTATAGCGCATGTGTTTGGACTGTGGGGGAAACCGGAGCACCCGGAGGAAACCCACACCAACACGGGAAGGACATGCAAACTCCACACAGAAATGACAACTGACCCAGCCGGGACTCGAACCAGTGACTGTCTTGCTGTGCTAACCACTGAGCCACCGTGCTGCCATGAAAGGAATTAATATTTACTGTTTTACTTCAACATTTTAAAATAAGTTTGGGGATGTGGAATGTGTTGTGGAATCCAGAAAGAGAATAAAGATCTGACATGTGATGTCTTCTGGAGCTTCTCTCTGCTTTCTGATGCGCTCTGTTGTCCTTCCCGTCTGGCTGTAAACTGAAGCGTCTAGATGTATTCTGCAGCGTTCATGCTTTTTTAATCTCGTGTGTGTCATTTAAAGACGATCACTGACGCTTCTGTGTGAGTTGAGCAGTGCTGTGTGTTGAACACCAGACACTTCTGATTTACTGATGTTTAACAGCTCTCTGTCTGTCTGTCTGTCTGTCTGTCTGTCTGTCTGTCTGTCTGTCTGTCTGTCTGTCTGTCTCTGTGTGTGTGTGTGTGTGTGTGTGTGTGTGTGTGTGTGTGTGTGTGTGTGTGTGTGTGTGTGTGTGTGTGTGTGTGTGTGTGTGTGTGTGTGTGTGTGTGTGTGTGTGTGTGTGTGTGTGTGTGTGTGTGTGCGCGCGCGCGCGTGTGTGTTTGACAGGCCGTTCTTCGAGGGTATGTCTCAGTCCAGCTCTCAGACAGAGATCGGCAGCTTGAACAGTAAAGGCAGCGTGAGCAGAGACCCCTTCAGCCCTGTGAGTCCGCTTTACTCTACTTTTACTTTACTCCACTTTACTCTATTTTACCTTACTTTACTTTACTCTATTTTACTTTACTCTACTTTACTCTATTTTACTCTACTCTTCTTTACTCTATTTTACTCTACTTTACTCTACTTTACTCTTCTTTACTCTATTTTACTCTACTTTACTTTACTTTACTTTACTTTACTCTATTTTACTTTACTCTATTTTACCGTACTTTACTTTACTCTACTCTACTCTACTTTACTCTACTTTACTCTATTTTACTCTACTCTTCTTTACTCTATTTTACTCTACTTTACTCTACTTTACTCTTCTTTACTCTATTTTACTCTACTCTTCTTTACTCTACTTTACTCTATTTTACTTTATCTTACTCTACTTTACTCTATTTTACTTTATCTTACTTTACTTTACTCTATTTTACTCTACTCTTCTTTACTTTACTCTGTTTTACTTTACTCTACTTTACTCTATTTTACTCTACTCTTCTTTACTTTACTCTGTTTTACTTTACTCTATTTTACTTTATCTTGCTCTACTTTACTCTATTTTACTCTACTCTTCTTTACTTTACTCTGTTTTACTTTACTTTACTCTATTTTACTTTATCTTGCTCTACTTTACTCTATTTTACTATACTCTTCTTTACTTTACTCTGTTTTACTTTACTTTACTCTACTTTACTCTATTTTACTCTACTCTTCTTTACTCTACTTTACTCTATTTTACTCTACTTTACTCTATTTTACTCTACTCTTCTTTACTCTACTTTACTCTATTTTACTCTACTTTACTCTATTTTACTCTACTCTACTTTACTCTACTTTACTCTATTTTACTCTACTTTACTCTATTTTACTCTACTCTTCTTTACGGTTTTGCGAGGGAACGTTCAGTTTTTTTTTTCTCCCACCAATTTTTTTCCTTACCATCACGTCCCTTCCGGGTCTCCGTACTACTCTACTTTAATTTACTCTACTTTACTTTATTTTACTCTACTCTACTTTACTCTACTTTATTTTACTCTACTTTATTTTACTCTACTCTACTCTACTCTACTTTATTTTACTCTACTCTACTTTACTCTACTTTATTTTACTCTACTTTATTTTACTCTACTCTACTCTACTCTACTTTATTTTACTCTACTTTACTCTACTCTACTTTATTTTACTCTACTTTATTTTACTCTATTTTACTCTATTTTATTTTACTCTACTTTATTTTACTCTATTTTACTCTATTTTATTTTACTCTACTTTATTTTACTCTACTTTATTTTACTCTATTTTACTCTACTTTATTTTACTCTACTTTATTTTACTCTATTTTACTCTACTTTACTTTATTTTACTCTACTTTATTTTACTCTACTTTATTTTACTCTATTTTACTCTACTTTACTTTATTTTACTCTACTTTGTTTTACTCTATTTTACTCTATTTTACTCTACTTTACTTTATTTTACTCTACTTTATTTTACTCTACTTTATTTTACTCTACTTTACTTTATTTTACTCTACTTTATTTCACTCTATTTTACTCTACTTTATTTTACTCTACTTTATTTTACTCTATTTTACTCTACTTTACTTTATTTTACTCTACCTAACTTTATTTTACTCTTCTTTACTCTACTTTACTTTATTTTACTCTACTTTACTCTACTCTACTTTATTTTACTCTATTTTACTCTACTTTACTTTAATCTACTCTACTTTATTTTACTCTACTTTATTTTACTCTATTTTACTCTACTTTACTTTATTTTACTCTACTTTATTTTACTCTATTTTACTCTACTTTACTTTATTTTACTCTACTTTATTTTACTCTATTTTACTCTACTTTACTTTATTTTACTCTACTTTACTTTATTTTACTCTACTTTATTTTACTCTATTTTACTCTACTTTACTTTATTTTACTCTACTTTATTTTACTCTATTTTACTCTACTTTACTTTATTTTACTCTACTTTATTTTACTCTATTTTACTCTACTTTATTTTACTCTACTTTACTTTATTTTACTCTACTTTACTCTACTCTATTTTACTCTACTTAACTTTATTTTACTCTATTTTACTCTACTCTACTTTATTTTACTCTACTTTACTCTACTCTATTTTACTCTACTTAACTTTATTTTACTCTATTTTACTCTACTCTACTCTACTTTATTTTACTCTACTTTACTCTACTCTATTTTATTTTACTCTACTTTACTCTACTCTATTTTATTTTACTCTACTTTACTCTACTCTACTTTATTTTACTCTACTTTACTCTACTCTATTTTACTCTACTTAACTTTATTTTACTCTATTTTACTCTACTCTACTTTATTTTACTCTACTCTACTCTATTTTACTCTACTTAACTTTATTTTACTCTATTTTACTCTACTCTACTCTACTTTATTTTACTCTACTTTACTCTACTCTATTTTACTCTACCTAACTTTACTTTACTCTACTTTACTCTACTTTACTTTATTTTACTCTACTTTATTTTATTTGATTTTATTTTACTCTACTTAATTTTACTCTATTTTACTCTGCTTTTTTACTCTAGTTTACCTTCCTTTCCTTTATTTTTCTTTCCTTTACTGGGGAACATTCTCTGTGTTTGGCAATGAATGTGCAGATTAGCAAACACACCAACTCCACATCTGGATGAACATCGCGCTCAGCTCAGTGTATGTGTGTTCAGCTGCTTTTCTCCGAGTTGTGTGTGTGACTGTAGTTCCTCTGTGTGTCCAGCAGGGAGAGCAGCCGCCGTCAGACAAACTCAAACACTCGCGCAGCAGAAACCTGGACGAGCCGCTGTCTGAAACCGACACACTGGTGAGAGCGCAATTCATCAATCCCACACACACACACACACACAGCTGAAGACAATATCATCAGCCTTCCTGTTGAGTTTAAATCATTTTTCAAACATTTCCCAAGTGTTGTTTAACAGAGTGAGGATTTTCATTTCATATATGTAATAGTTTTAATAACTCATCTCTAATAACTGATTTCTTTAATCTTTGGCATGATGAAAGCACATAATATTTGACTAGATATTTTTCAAGACTCTTCTGTACAACCTAAAGTGACATTTAAATGCTTAAAGAGTCTCCTAGAGTTTAACAGTTGACTCGAACCAAGCTGCGTTGACCTCCTGACTCTGGGACCCTGGTTTCCAAAGGAAATGCGAAGTGTACTTTCAACAGAGAACATAAGTTTGGTGCCCTCAGCAGCAGTCCAGTGCTTAGCCCAGGCGAGACGTCTGTTATTTAAGAGTAGCTTGACACAAGTAATGTGACAGCTGAAACCCATGTCTTGCAGACGTCTGTGCGTAGTGGTTCTTGAAGCACTGACTCCAGCTGCAGTCCACTCTTGAGCCAAATTATTGATCTAGCGGGAGCAGTTTTAGCTTAGCATAGTGAATTGAATCGGATTAGACCATTAGCATTTTGTTTAAAAAAGGGGTTTGATAATTATCTTATTTATAGCTTGTGTCTTCTAGTGGTCATGGTACAGCTGCAGAGTTTCTTGACTATTACGCCTTAATGAGAGTATAGTTTCTAGCAATATTGGCGTAGAAAATAGCCATTTTTCTTCTTCCAATGTTCGTATTACACTATCAAATGTAAAAACCAGCAGCTGATTCAAAGCAATTTTGCAAGTGATTGAGTTTCTCCACATTCACGCACTGTTCAGTCACTCGATGTGTGGTATTCTCCATAGCTGAGTGTTTTTATTGGGGGAAGTTCCTCTGGTCATTATGTTGGTTATTAATGCTAGTTTGTGTTGAATGTGTCTGTGTGTGTGTGTGTGTGTGTGTGTGTGTGTGTGTGCGTGTGTGTGTGTGTGCGTGTGCGTGTGTGTGCGTGTGTGTGTGTGTGCGTGTGTGTGTGTGTGTGTGTGTGTGTGTGTGTTTATGCAGGAACTGAATGATCAGGATCTGTTCACTGAAGTTGGTCCCAGTATTACAGTTTCAGTGGCTGAAAAGCCACGAACACCATTGAAAACCAGCAAGAACGAGATCCAGTCCATGCCGTCGCCCAGGTCAGAGCAGCTACACAGCCGCCTGTTCATACCTGATATAATAATCAATAAAATACTGATGCAGTTCACATGACTCATGATTCAGTTCACATAACTCATGATTCAGTTCACATGATGCAGTTTTCAGTCTCATGATTCAGTTCACTGACTCATGAGTCATTTTACATGATGCAGTTCACAATATCATGATTCAGTTCACATGACTCACGATTGAGTTCAAATGATGCAGTGCACAGTCTCATGATTCAGTTCACAGACTCACAAGTCATTTCACATGATGCAGTTCACACTTTCATGATTCAGTTCAGATACTCACGATTCAATTCACATGATGCAGTTCACAGTCTCATGGTTCAGTTCACATGACTCACGATTCCATTGACTTGATGCAGTTTACAGTCTCATGATTCAGTTCACATGACTCACAATTCAATGATGCAGTTCACATTCTCGTAATTCAGTTCGCATGATTCACAATTTATTTCACATGATGCAGTTCGGATGAACACGAATCAATTCACATGATGCGGGTCGCATGACTCACAATTCAGTTCACGTAACTCATGATTCAGTTCACATGATGCTGTTCAGTCTCATGATTCAGCTCACATGACTCACGATTCAATTCACATGATGCAGTTCACAGTCTTATGATTCAGCTCACATGACTCACGATTCAATTCACATAATGTAGTTCACAGTCTCATGATTCAGTTCACATACTCATGATTCAAGTTACATGATGCAGTTCAGTCTCATGATTCAGTTTACACACTCGCGATTCAATTCACATGATGCAGTTCACAGTCTTATGATTTAGTTCAGATACTCACGATTCAATTCAAATGATGCGGGTCACATGACTCACAATTCAGTTCACGTAACTCACGATTCAGTTCACATGATGCAGTTCAGTCTCATGATTCAGCTCACATGACTCACGATTCAATTCACATGATGCGGATCACATGACTCACAATTCAGTTCACATAATTCATGATTCAGTTCACATGATGCAGTTCAGTCTCATGATTCAGCTCACATGACTCACGAGTCATTTCACATGATGCAGTTCACAGTGTCATGATTCAGCTCACATGACTCACGATTCAATTCACATGATGTAGTTCACAGTCTCATGATTCAGTCCACATACTCATGATTCAAGTTACATGATGCAGTTCAGATTCTCGTGATTCAGTTCATATGACTCACAATTCAGTTCACATGACACAGTTCAGTCTCATGATTCAGTTTACGCACTCACGATTCAATTCACATGATGCAGTTCACAGACTCATGGTTCAGTTCAGATACTCAACATTTTAATTCACATGATGTGTTTGTATGTGTGTTTTATAGGCTGGATGGAGCACACACTCCTCGTAAACGCAACACTCCTGTGAAAGATCGGCAACTCTCCAAACCTCTGAATGAACGAACCAACAGCTCGGACAGCGAAAGATCTCCTGAACTCGGACACAGCACACAGGTCTGAAGCACAACACTCACTGACTCACAACTCAGTTTACATGATTTAGTTCACAGACTCATGATTCAGTTCACATATGATTCAGTTCACATACTCATGATTTAGTTCGTATACTTGCGATTCAGTTCACATGCTCACAATTCAGTTCACATGATTCACAATTCAGTTTACATGATGCAGTTTACAGACTCATGATTCAGTTCACATACTAAAGATTCCGTTTACATATGGTTTAGTTTACGTAATTTGCGATTCAGTTTATGTGACTCATGATTCAGTTGTCATTATTCAGTTCACAGACTCAGGATTTAGATCACATACTAAAGAGTCAGTCCACATACGACTCAGTTCATATAAATCATAAATCTGTTTTCATGATTCAGTTCACAGACTCATTATTCGGTTCACATTACTCATGATATAACATAATTTGGTTTAAAGCCTCATGACTTAGTTCACATACACACGATTCAGTTCACATGATTGAGCTCACAGACTCATCATTCAGTTCACAGGATGCAGTTCACAGACCCATGATTCAATTTATAGACTCATGATTCAGTTCACAGAATGCAGTTTACAAACTTATGATTCAGTTCACAGACTCATGATTCAGTTCACAGACTCATTAATCAGTTCATACTTCACGATTCAGTTCACAGTATGCAGTTCTCAAACTCATAATTCAGTTCACAAACTCATGGTTCAGTTTTCATGGTTGAGTTCACATGATGCAGTTCTCATACTCATGAGATTCAGTTCACATATAATTTAGTTTACATGATTCACAATTCAGTTCACATAATGCAGTTCACAGACTCATAATGCAGTTCACAGACTCATAATGTAGTTCACTGAATGCACTTCAGAGACTCATGATTCAGTTCACAGGATGCAGTTCACAGGATGCAGTTCACAAACTCATGATTCTGTTCACAGACTCATGATTCTGTTCATGATTGTGCTCACAGACTCATCATTCAGTTCACAGACTCATGATTCAGTTTACAGACTCATGATTCAGTTTACAGACTTATGATTCAGTTTACAGACTCATGATTCAGTTTTCATGGTTGAGTTCACAAACTCATGATTAATTTCACAGGAAGCAGTTCTCAAACTCATGATTCAGTTCACAAACTCATGGTTCAGTTCATGATTCAGTTCACAGACTTATGATTCAGTTCACACCTCATGATTCAGTTTACAGTATGCAGTTCACAGACTCATGATTCAGTTCACACCTCATGATTCAGTTCACAGTATGCAGTTCACAAACTCATAATTCAGTTTTCATGGTTCAGTTCACAGACTCATGATTAAGTTTACAGACTCATGATTCAGTTTACAAACTCATGGTTCAGTTCATGATTCAGTTCACAGACTTATGATTCAGTTCACACCTCATGATTCAGTTTACAGTATGCAGTTCACAAACTCATGATTCAGTTCACAAACTCATAATTCAGTTTTCATGGTTCAGTTCACAGACTCATGATTCAGTTTACAGACTCATGATTCAGTTTTCATGGTTGAGTTCACAAACTCATGATTAATTTCACAGGAAGCAGTTCTCAAACTCATGATTCAGTTCACGAACTCATGGTTCAGTTCAAGATTCAGTTCACAGACTTATGATTCAGTTCACACCTCATGATTCAGTTTACAGTATGCAGTTCACAAACTCATGATTCAGTTCACAAACTCATAATTCATTTTTCATGGTTCAGTTCACAGACTCATGATTCAGTTCACGCCTCATGATTCAGTTCACAGTATGCAGTTCACAAACTTCATGATTCAGTTCACAGACTCATGATTCCATTCACAGACTTAACGATTCAATTCACAGACTTAACGATTCAGTTAACGTGGTTCACAATTAAGTTCACTGGCTCCTGATTCAGTTCACGTCATTCATGATTCACAGTGCATGGGCATATTTATAACAAGCGTCATTTGATGACATAACAATTTTGTCACCGTCCTAGAAACGAAAAGATTTGACCCATTTATGATCAAGACTTATGTAACATTGACCCGTTTGACGGGTTTTGTGGTCCAGGGTCACAATTGTCAACAAGACAGAGTGTATTGCAGACTGTGTGCATTGGGCTCATTGTATGTGTGTGTAGATGTTCTAGATGTGGATGTTGAGAGTAAAGGAGTTTCTCCTCAGATTCCCTCACTCTCCTTCTCTGTGTCTTTAAATGAGGAGTGTGTTAATGCAGTGTTTCCTCCTGTTCTGCAGAGTCACTCTCAATTATTCATGATTGGCTGACTCACCGCTGTGTGTGTGTGTGTGCGTGTGTGTGTGTGTGTGTGTGTGTGTGTGTCTGTGTTTTATATGTGTGTTTCTGTATCTGTATCTGTATCTGTCTATCTATTGTGTGTGTTTGTGTTTCTTCATGCAAGTGTGTTTCTGTCTCTTTGTCTGTTTGTGTGCTTACGTCGTCGATGCTGCGCTGTTCATTAGAGAAGCGCTCTCGCTCAGCACAGTGGAGATTTCTCTAGTGATATTGCTTTAGTCCTTGACCCGCAGTCTGATATTTTTTCCAAACCGATCATCCACTTTTGATGCTCATAAACAATCATAAAGCCCTCGTGCTGCAGCAATTAGGAGGTTTGCTGAAGGTGCAGCTGTCATGCAGTGAGGGGTTTGAGTCTTTAATAAACTACGACAGTTTAGAGATGCTCTAAAGAGATGCTACTTACACTAATTACAAATAGCAAGAGATGCTACACAATATAGCAA